ATCAAAGCTAAACAAAACCCCAGAAACCTGCTTTCAGCCAGCTGGGACCTCAGAGCTGGAGTTGAAACAGTGTTTCGATTATAGAACCCAAACAAACCAGATACCTGCTTTCAGCAGCCAAGCCTCAGAGCTAAAGCTGGCCCAGAATAAAAAAAGAAAAGAAAAAAAGGAGCGGTTGGGAGCTTCAGTCACCCGCCATTCTGAAAACAGCCCTCAGCCCCTCACCCAGAATGGCCATGCACCCCAGTGAGGACGCCCACCCTGAAGGGTGTGTGACCTGCTGCAAAGAGCCATCATCCCCTCATCCAGGCTGGCCAGGCACCCCAGTGGGGACCCCACCCTGATCCAGGACACCCTTCAAGGCAAACCAGCCTGCCCCCACCCATGCACCAGGCCTCTATCCTATATAGTAAAAGGTAATATGCCTCCCAGCACTGGGATCAGCGAAGCCACGAGGCCTCCCGGCACCGGGATCAGCGTGACAGGGGGCATCGCCCAAACCCCCTGATTGCCCTGCGGCTCTGTCTGTGAAGGGGGTGGGTCCACAACCTCCCTATCCACCCTGCTCTGTTCGTGACAGGGGAAGGCACCCCAACCCCCTGATCAGCCCTGCTCTGTGCCTGACAGGGGGGAGCTCCCCAACCCCCTGATCAGCCCTGCTCTGTGGGTGATAGAGGGTGGTGCCTCAACCCCCCCCCCCCACGGGCCCTGCTCTGTGTGTGATGGGGTAGAGCCATAACCTCCCCATTGGCCCTGCCCTGAGTGTGACAGGGTGCGGTGCCCAAACCCCCTGATCTGCCCTGCTCTGAACCCGACCAGGGGCTGCACCTAGGGATTGGGCCTGCCCTCTGCCACCTGGGAGCAGGCCTAAGCCAGCAGGTCGTTATCTCCTGAGGGATCCCAGACTGCAAGAGGGCACAGCCCGGGCTGAGGAAACCCCCCCTCCCCCCGAGTGCACAAATTTTTGTGCACTGGGCCTCTAGTCCTATCTAATAAAAGAGAAACAAGGTAATTAGCTGTAACTTTGCTACCCTTCCCATTGGCTAATCAGCGAGATATGCAAATTAACTGCCAACCAAGATGGGGGCCGGCAGCCAGGTAGCTGACACGAACAGGGAGGCTTGCTTGCTCCAGTGATGGAGGAAGCCAGGTTCCCCGCCTGACGCTGCCGGCCTCTCAGCTGCTCTCTAAGAAACATTGTTACAAATATAGAACCTAAACAAAATCCCAGAAACCTGCTTTCAGTCAGCCGGGATCTCAGAGCTGGAGTCGCAACAAAGTTACAAATACAGAAGGTAAACAAAGTCCAGAAACCTGCTTTCAGCAGCCGAGGTCTGAACTAAAGCTGGCTCTCAGCTCCAGTGACAGCCATAGAACGTAAACAAATCCCAGAATTAAAAAAAAAAAAAGGAAAAAAGGAGAGGCTGGGAGCTTCAGTCACCCACAAGCCTGAAAACGTCCCTGAGCCCCTCACCCAGACTGGCCAGGCACCCCAGTGGGGACCCCCACCCTGAAAGGGCTGTGACCAGCTGCAAACAGCCATCATCCCCTCATCCAGGCTGGCCAGGAACCCAAGCGGGACCCCCACCCTGGTCCAAGACATCCTTCAGGGCAAACCAGCCTGCCCCCACCCATGCACCAGGCCTCTATCCTATATAGTAAAAGGGTAACATGCCTCCCAGCACCGGGATCAGGGGAGCCTCAAGGCCTCCCGGCCTGGGATCAGCGGAGCCACAAGGCCTCCCGGCACCAGGATCAGCAGAACCATGAGGCCTCCCGGCACCAGGATCAGCAGAGCCACGAAGCCTCCCAGCACCGGGATGAGCGGAGCCGCGAGGCCTCCCGGCCTGTGATCAGCAGAGCCAAAAGGCCTCCCGAACCCAGGATCAGCGGAGCCGCAAGGCCTCCCAGCACCAGGATCAGTGGAGCCGCAAGGCCTCCCGGCATCGAGATCAGCGGAGCTGCAAGGCCTCACTGCCCCTGTGTCAAGTGGAGCTGCGAGCCCTCCCAGCACCAGGATCAGCAGAGCCGCAAGGCCTCCCAGCATCGGGATCAGCAGAGCCGCGAGGCCTCACTGCCCCTGTGTCAAGCGGAGCCACGAGGCCTCCCAGCACCAGGATCAGCTGAGCAGCGAGGCCTCCTGTTCCCTGGAGCAGCATGACAGGGGGCAGCGCCCAAACCCCCTGATCGCCCTGTGGCTCTGTGTGTGACAGAGGGCGGGGTCACAACTTCCCTATCCGCCCTGCTCTGTTCCTGACAGGGAAGGGTGCCCCAACCCCCTGATTGGCCTTGCTCTGTGTGTGACAGGTTGGAGCCGCAACCTCCCCATCGGCCCTGCCTTGAGTGTGACAGGGGGTGGCGCCCCAACCCCCCAATCAGCCCTACCCTGAGCATGACTTAGGGTGGCATCGCAACTTCCTGATCCGCCCTGCTCTGTGCATGGCAGGGGGGATCTCCCCAACCCCCTGATCGGCCCTGCTCTGTGGGTGACAGGGAGGAGCTCCCCAACCCCTTGATCAACCTAGAATGTACTCTGTGTGTGACAGTGTACAGAGCCCCAACCCCGCTGATGGGCCCTGCTCTGTGTGTGACAGGGGGCAGCGCCCCAATCCCCTGATCGGCTGGCTCTGTATGTGACAGGGGGTGGCGCCGCAACCTGCCCATCGACCCTGCCTTGAGTGTGACAGGGGTTGGCACCCCAACCCCCCAGTCGGCCCTACCCTGAGCGTGACTGAGGGTGGCATCGCAACCTCCTGATCCGCCCTGCTCTGTGCATGACAGGGGGTGGCGCCCCAACTCCCCAATCGGCCCTGCTCTGAGCCTGACCAGGGCTGCGGGGCAGGCACCTAGGGATTGGGCCTGCCCTCTGCCACCCTGGAGCGGGCCTAAGCCAGCAGGTCATTATCTACCGAGGGGTCCCAGACTGTGAGAGGGCACAAGTGGGGCTGAGGGACACCACCACCCCGCCAGTGCACAAATTTTTGTGCACCGGGCCTCTAGTATATATATATAAAAAGCCAGCACCGGAATGCCAGAATGACCGGAACAACCAGTCGTTATGACGCCCACTGTGGCCAGCCAACTAGCCCGATTGGGGGGTGGGGCTGACTGGCCAACCTCCCGCGGCCCCTCGCCCCAGCTGGCCCCACCCCTGATTGGCCTCTCCCACCCCAATCAAGGGTGGGGCAGCTGGCCAACCAGCCCACGACCCTTCCCTCTGGCCAGCCCCACCCCAGATCACCCCCCCCACCCCAATAGGGGGCGGGTCTGGCAGCCAACCACCTGTGGCCCCTCCCCCTGGATGGCCCTACCCTCGATGGGCCCCACCACCCCATCAGCCCACAACCTCTCTTCCTGGCTGGCCCTACCCCCAACCAGCCCCCCACTCCAATCAGGGGCAGGGCTGGCCGGCCAACCACCGATGGCCCCTCCCCAAGGGCACTAGCCTCCGATTGGCAACCCCACCCCAATCAGGGATGAGGCCCACTGGCCAATCACCCATGGCACATCCCTGCAGCCAGCCCAGCCCTGATTGGCCCTGATCCGCCCCGATTGGGGTTGGGCTGGTGAGACCCTACCCATGCACGAATTCGTGCACTGGGCCTCTAGTTTCTCAATAAAACTGGGCGGGGGGGGGGGGGATGAGCCCACATTGGTTTATAATAATTTGGACTTCCCCACATTTGAAATAAGGGTATGTTAGTCTTTCCCTGCTCCTTCTCTTCCCTACCTTCTCCAGGGAGCATTTCTCAACCATTTCTCTGTGTCTACCTAAAACCCTCCTGGGGCAAACATCAGGGACTTCTAACCCAGTAGGGCCTATTCTGCTGTCTCTTTCCCCTTAACATTTAAGCTTGTGCATTGCTGAAAGGAAATTTAATCCATATGCTTCTGAGTCATTTACACTTAACACTTCAAAATATTCTGTTGTAATGGTCATTTTTGTCACAAGACTCTTCCTGAATCTTTACAAGGCCTTTTATTCTTAGCAGTCTCAGTTTAGCAGTCACACATGGAATCTAAACTCCAGAAGGATAGTTCTTTATCTTTATCATTCCTCACTTATTTGGTAGACCTTGCCAAGCCTTTTCTACCCTGAGGTAAGAAAGCCTTTGTTCTAAGACACTTTTTTATGTTCTTTTTCTTATATAATCAGGATGTTAATAATTACTATTTGCTGGGCATAAACAATGGCATGCTCTGTACTAAGAACTTTTCTGTATCTTTAATCTTCAAATTTGAATAACCATAAATTTTTCCCTACTTTTCAGAACCCAAAGCTCTGAGAGATAAAGTAACTTGTCTAAAATCACCTAGCTGATAAGAATTGAGGTGAGACTATCTCCAAATACAGCACTGCACTCTTTCTAAATTAAATTAAAACCACACATCTGGTGATGCTTCAACTTCCATAGCTAGAGGCATTGTTAGCAGGCCCTCTTCACCCTGTCTTTTTGGCAAACTTTATTCATCCCAATTCAAATGGCATCTCCTCTGGAAGATTTCCCTCTTCTTTGCTGTCTTATACATCCTTCTTTGTCACACTACAATGTAAGATAATCATATTTTTCATGTCCATTTTCCTTTTAGACTATGAGCTTCTTGAGTTTAGGGTTATTTATATCTTTTTTCTCTGTTTTTCCAGAGCCCAACCCAGAGTAGACACTTAATAGATATCTGTTGAACTGAATATCTCCTAGTTAAGACTGAGATGCAAATGTCTTTCATTTGTTCATTATCTATTCCAGGCATTGGAGATAAGGCAAGAAAAAACAAGCAGATCACCTCCTCTACTCAACACCACTCAGGTAGGGGCCCTACTTCTTCACTCCCTATGGAGCATATCTGTGTATTCTCTTTGGAGCACAGATCAGTATAGTTTGTATTGGAGACACTATAAAACAGCAGTCCAGTGATTGGACTATGGCGTCAGCCCACCTGGCTTTGAACAATTTACTTAACCTCAGTTTCCACATAAATAAAATGAGGAAAATACCTACCTGTTTGGGTGGTTGCAGAACATGATCTATATTGTAGACATTACATGTAGAATTAGAATGGTGCCTAAAACATAGAGTTCAAATAAATATTAGCTATTATTATCATTCTTTGTCTCACCCAATGCATTTGTTTCTCTTTCACTGCTAACCAACTTAACCTATTATAAACTAAGAAATTTAGTGAAATGATCTAATATGATTGTTTCACATACTATGAAAGGCTTTTGTGTATTGTGAAGTAATACTCTCTAAAAATGCCAACACCAAACATATCTAGGATGTTGAGAAATTTCATACAAAGCACAATTATTAATTGATCAGATGTTCTCTCACTTTCTCCCAACACAGATATATTTTTCCACCTCTAAAATTTCTACGACTGAAACTACACTTTTATTTTTATTTATTTCCTTTCTTATTTCTTCTAAGTCTGCTTATCTAACCCTGTGTGAACACATAAATGTTGATGAAGTCAAAGTCATAAACTCACTCCTTTTGCAAGTAGATTATTCACTGTTGGATGGATGCAGAATATACCCCGAATCTTGGCCAATGCTACTAATGAAAATCATTTATCACAAGAGATGTCAATGGGTGAGATACCACCCTATGCTTTAAAAACTTTAAATATCTATAAAATATAATAACTAGGTAAATGGAAACTTTTCACATACAAAAGCATTCATCACAATGTTATTTTTAATTATTAAAAAATTTTAAGTAAATGTTCAGTAATAGGAAGATGGTCTAATAAACTTTATAGTTGTGCAATGGAATTTAAATAATGGTTTGCAAAGATTTTTAAGTGACATTACTATATTATAATTTTAAAAAGCAGAATATAGAAATGCTTTTAATTATGTTAAATTGTGCATTTAAATAAGTTTATACAAACACCCATATATGTATAAAAAAGGCAAAATTAGAAAATGCACTAAAATGTTAGCAGTGGTAATATTTGGGTAGTAAAATGAATTATGGGTGATTTTTATTTTCTTCTTTATTATTAACTAGAGGCCCGATGCACAAATATTCATGCAAGAGTAGGCCTTCCTTCCCCTGACTGCCGGCACCAGCTTCCCTCTGGCACCAAGGACCCAGCTGCTTCCCTCTTCCAGCCATCTGCAGGCACCTGAGACCCGGGCTGGCTTCCCTCAGCCCGTTTGCAGGCACCCAGGATCCGGGCTGGCTTCCCTTGGGCCACCTGCAAGCACCCTGGACCCGAGCTGGCTTCCCTCCACCCCGGCTTGGTCAGGAAGGACGTCTGGAATGACGGCCGGAAGATGTCTGATCTAATTAGCACATTACCATTTTATTATTATAGATAGTATCAGTTTTTAATTTTATTGACTGTGTTAAATGACTTATGTGAATTCTCTCACATTTGTTTCCTCATCTGTAAAATGAGGACAATGAGAATATCTGTTTTGCAAGTATAATGTATCAGATGAGATAACATAAAAATAATTGACAAATTTTAAAAGTAATGTTTAAATATCAAATTATTAGAAAACAGTATGACTTTATTATATGTATGAATTACAGCAGTTAGGACTGGAAATATTTTTTAGAAACTTTTGTTTAGAAATGTTAACGAAAATGTATTACATATGTGGTTCATTTTTCTGGGACTTTGCCCAGTTGCCTAGGATTTCCTGCTCCTTTACCTCCCCTAGCTATGGCATTGTTATCACTGGGAGGGCTGGGGAAATATTAAGAAAAGTGGTAGTTTATTGGCCGAAGATAGAAAAGAGATCAAATAAAAAATTCAGAACTGTATGCCATTTTAGCCACATAATGGAGAGGAAAGCCAAACTCTGAAGCATAAGAAAATGTGAGATCTAGAATCATTCAGGCACCCAACAAAATAGATAATCAACATCTCAGTGTACTGGACATCAAATCAACAATGGCTTTAGGCAGAAAAGCCATTGGCATGACTGAAAAGGTGCATGCCAGAAGGGCTAAAAGGGAATCAGGTGTCCAATCATAAATACTAGGATCACAGTGTGGCCAAATCACCACAGTGAAAACTGCAGGGCAAATGCCTTTCTTCATGTTTCCCATCTGAGACTGGACTTTATTATTTCACTTTCAATTTTCAGAAAGAAAGAGGAGAGTCAGAGTGGGGATAAACCAAGGCTATCTGTTCCAAAACGAAGAACCAGATATCTGGAGTTATTAAAATGAAGAAACTGAGTAATCACAAGTATAACAGATATGGATCATCCTATCTAATAAAAGACAAAAAGGGTAATTGACCATACCTTCGCAACACTTCCCATTGGCTAATCAGGGTGATATGCAAATTAACTGCCAACTAAGATGGCAGCTGGCAGCCACACAGCTAGAGTGAGCAGGAGGCTTGCTTGCTCCAGTGATGGAGGAAGCCAAGGTTCCCCGCCTGCCGCGGCCTGGCTCTGAGCTCCGAAAGCAACAAAGTTTCAATGATAGAAGCGAAAGAAACCCCAGATACCTGCTTTCAGCAGGCCATGGCCTCAGAGCAGGAGCCAGCTCTCAGCTCCAGTGATGGCAACAAAGTTTCAATTATAGAAGGTAAATAAATCCCAGAATTAAAAAACAGAAAAAAAGGAGAGGCTGGGAGCTTCAGTCGCCGGCCAGCCTGAAAACGGCCCTCAGCCCCTCACCCAGGCTGGCCAGGCACCCCAGTGGGGACCCCTACCCTAAAGGGGGTGTGGCCAGCCTGAAAACAGCCATCAGCCCCTCATCCAGGCTGGCCAAGCACCCCAGTAGGGACCCCCACCCTGAAGGGGGTGTGACCAGCTGCAAACAGCCATCAGCCCCTCACCCAGGCTGGCCAGGCACCCAAGCAGGACCCCCACCCTGATCCAGGACACCCTTCAGGGCAAACCAGCCAGCCCCCACCCATGCACCAGGCCTCTATCCTATATAGTAAAAGGGTAATATGCAAACTGACCCTAACAGCAGAAGGACTGGGAATGACTGGTCACTATGACACACACTGACCACCAGGGGGCAGACGCTCAATGCAGGAGCTGCCCTCTGGTGGTCAGTGCGCTCCCACATGGGGGAGCTCTGCTCAGCCACAAGCCATGCTGATGGCTGCCAGTACAGCGGTGGTGGTGGGAGCCTCTCTTGCCTCCTCAATAGCACTAAGGATGTCCGACTACAGCTTAGGTCTGCTCCCCGCTGGCAAGTGGACATCCCCTGAGGGCTGCCGGGCTTCCGGGCTGCCAGAGGGATGTCTGATTGCCATCTTAGGCCCAATCCCCTGGGGAGCAGGCCTAAGCCAGCAGGTTGTCATCCCCGGAGGGGTCCCAGACTGCAAGAGGGCACAGGCCGGGCTGAGGGACCCCCCTGAGTGCACAAATTTTTGTGCACTGAGCCTCTAGTAAAGACATAAAGGTCTATTATTAAAACATTATAGAATTAATAAAATTCTATTAGTAGAATTCATAAAATTATAGACTATTATGAAGTTTCATTTCATCACAAATTTAAAATACTCCAAGATGAGAATTAGCTTGTTATTGCTGTCTTACATGTATATGTTAATAATGCTACATACTAAAACAATAATAAGGTTGTATCACCCAACAGCATTGGAACAGATATTAGTAATTTTCGGTATAGACTTTTAAAGTACAAAGTGGACAGTATTCTAAGAATTGATTCAGAAATATGCTCTGGAAATATAACAAATGTTCTCAGCTAAATAGCTTCTAAGTTTTTCTATTAAAAATGTAGTTACCAAGCCCTAACTAGTTTGGCTCACTGACTAGACCCTTGTCCCATTGACTGAATGGTCACAGGTTCAATTCCTGTCCAGGGTATGTACCTCAGTTGTAGGCTTGATCCCCAAGCTGCTCTGGGCTTGTGTGAGAGGCAACCAATGGATGTGTTTCTCTCACATCAATGTTTCTCTCTCTGTGTCTCTCCCCCTCCCTTCCACTCTCTCTAAAAATCAATGGGAAAATATCCTTGGGTGAGGATTAACAACACCAACAAAAAAAGTAGTTACCAAGGTCAATTCTTATTTTCATTTATCAAATACCTATAGTGGTAGGCACTACTATTTCAAGAATTATACTCATGCATTCATATAACATTCCTATAATATAAGCATATTATCATCCCCATTTCACTGAGAAAAAAAGAAGGAGAAAGGTTAAGATGATTGAGGTGTGCCCAATAACTCATAGCTAATAAGTGTAGTTTCCAGGACTGAAACCTAGCTATTCCTCTCCTATAACCATTATATGCATTTGCACATACTTGCATATACAACACAAGTGAGGTCTAAGAACCATAGAGAAATGGAAATCCGTTGTAGATAAAATAACAACAGGTCTCAGTTCACTGTGACAATCCAACTTCATATATATTGTCCCATTATAATCCTATATAATAAAGAGCTAATATGCAAATAGTCATCACACCATCATGCCCTCACACCCTCATGCCCCAGCGCCAGGGCCGAAGGACCTGAGGCCATGCCCCCCGCCCCCGGCGGGGCTTGACAGACATGAGACCACCTGGGTCTGGGTCTCACACTATTTCAAGGTGCATGCAGGTGGGCAGGGACTTGACTCTGGGTCCCGCGATGCACCCCAGACTCTGATAGAAGGGAGATTTTCATTTACTAATTTTCTTTCATCTCTGACACTTCTATTATAGAGAACAGGGAAATAGCAATATTAAAATATTTCCTCTAATTAATTCCCTTTGAATGTGCGTGAATTTCATGCACCGGGCCACTAGTTATTCATACTAGCCCTTGTCACTCTCAATAGTGTCCAAGTTCAAGCAAAACATACAGAGTGGACTTGTTAGAAAGGCTCTGTTCCACTACCGTGGGAGAGCCTCTTAAGCTTTGTTATCCATAATTTCCCTGGATGTAAACAGGGAATGCTAATGTCTGTTCTCTTCCTGCTTCCCAAGATGATACTATGATCATATGATCCCGAAGAATATACATAAATGTAAGATATTTTGAAGTTTTACAAATGTCCGATAGCTGTATTAGAAACTTCTATAACTGCTGAGCTCCCATCATGTGCAGAGTATGAACAGACATGCTTT